GTCTTTAAGAAGAGGAAGAAGAAGAAGAAAAGCAAAGGTAAAAATTATGAACAACAAAAAGACATCAAATACATACCTACCAACAAGTGAATCTAAAAATCAAGTGAGGAAGTGCCCGGCTAGCTCAGTCGGTAGAGCATGAGACTCTTAAGAATCAAGTGAATCAAAAATCTGAAGAACAAAATGGACTGGTGAATATAATAGAATCAGGTACATAAAAACTAATTGGACTAACAAATCTCAGGGGGCAGAGGGTCTGAGGGGTTTGAGAAGTGATTGGACAAAAATCTTACACCTGTGGATGAAGATAAAGGCGGGGGTAAGGGCGTGGAGTGGAGTTGGGAATCAGGTGGAGGGGAGATATGGGTGAGTGGGGGGAAGAAAAACACCTGTAATAATCTGAACAATAAAGATTTATTATTTTTAAAGTATTTATGTATTAATATTTTTATTGATTTCAGAGAGGAAGGGCGAGGGAGAGAGGTAGAAATATAAATGATGAGAGAGAATCATTGATCAGCTGCCTCCTGCACTCCCTCTGCTCAGAATCGAGCCTACAACCTGGGCATGTGCCCTTAACCCGGGGCCCTTTAATCCACAGACCTACATAAAGCCGACTCTTAAACAGATCTTGCTTTCAACAAGCTTAGAGTCTAATAAGGAGATAGGATATGAAGAGATACTATAATAGACCAAGTACGGAGTCCCAGAAGAGAGGCTTGAGCAAACCCATGCTGCTTCTGAGGTGTGAGACGTGATTTCTATGAGAAGGTAGGGCTGGAAGTCAGGAATGATCTTCCTATGGGAAGTAATATTTGGAAAGCATCGCTCAGAATGGAGAGGAAAGAGGCATGGTGCAACCACAGAAAAGGATATTTCTGTCCATGAATAAAGTATAGACTTCGTGCTTGTAGCAGGTGGTTCAGTATTGGCTGAGCACAGTGACTGACCTTGAGGGGAATTGCATGCTCTGCAGGCAGATGGCCCAGCTTCCCTGAACAGAGACAACAAAGATCACTTCTCAGGGACACAATTATGCTCTGAGGGTTACTTACTGTGGCAGCAGGGAAGAATGACATGTAGCAGTGGCTGTAAATTCACCTGTGTACTAACTTTCACTATACTTTTCTTGATCATAATAAAAACCTTTATCTTTTTTTTCCTCTGGTTTATAAAACTTTTAATTATATCTGTTTTTTAAATTGGGATGCAATTGACATATGACAGTGTCAGGTGTACAATATAATGATTTGATAATTTCTTTGATAACTTTTTAAAATATATTTTTGTTGATTTCAGAGAGGAAAAGAGAGAGAGAGAGAGAAGCATCGATGATGAGAGATAATCATTGAGTGGCTGCCTCCTGCACTCCCCACATAGGATCGAGCCCGCAACCTGGGCATGTGCCCTGACCAGGAATCAAACTGTGACCTCCAGGTTCATAAGTCAGCACTCAGCTGCTGAGCTATGCCAGCTGGGCAGTAACTTTTAAATAATGTCATAGCAGCTTTTAAATATGCAGTTCAGTCACCGTGCTGCATGTTACTTATTTTATAACTGAACGTTTGTACCTTTTAACCCCTTCATCCATTTTTACCTACCCTTCCAGCCCTCCTGCTTCCCCCAGCCTCGCCTCTGCACCAGTTTTAATCTGTTGTCTGTGTCTGAAATTGGTGAACCAGTATGTTTGTTTTTTCTCAGATGCCACATATAGATAAGTTCAGACAGTATCTGTCTCTTCCTGGATTACTCACTCAGCATAATACCACAAGGTCTGTCCATGTTGCAGATGGCAGACTCCATTCCTCTCTGTGGCTGAGCAGTATCCGTGTGTGTGTGTGTGTGTGTGTGTGTGTGTGTGTGTGTGTGTTTCCTATTTCCTTCATCTACTCACCTGTCAGCAGACACTAAGGGTGTGGATGTCTTGTGGATTTTTTTGGTAACTTGTATTTGTTTTCTTTCCACAAGTAGTGAGCAAGTTCTTTTTTTGTTGCTTGCTGGGAGTGCTTTTATTTTCAGTTTTGTTGTTTTGAGTTTGTGATAATGTGCTTGCCTGATAGGAAAAAGGAACCTTGCTTGTTGTCTCTTTTTAATAAGTATATGGAATTTAAAATTCATAACTGCTGTATTTCAGAAATGCCTATAGAGTGATTCTATAAATTAAAACAAAAATTCTTAACTTGGGAGCTATGAGTGTATCTGAGAAGTTTTAGGTTACTTATTTAGCACAATTGCCTGGCTCACATTTGGAATTTAATAGAGTGCTTTTTTGCCTTTTTAAATGCAATTTCTAGTAGTCTGCAAAGAAATCCTATCAAATGGGTAGGTGAGTGGAGAAGAACCCCTTAGCACGCTAAGCGCCACATCAGTCACTGGTGACGCACTAGGCTCTCCGTCCGGACAGTGTCCGTCACAGGCAGTATACTTTTCCTTCACTGGTGCCCGACGATATACAATTTAAAAATTATATTTTTCTATTAATTTTAAGTAATTTGGAGATCATAAAAGAATGAACCTTAATATTGTTACCAAAATTTTTTTAATAAATATTATTAAAACACGGTGTACACAAAAATACTTGTCCTGTGCAGTTTTCACAGAATGTTATAACTTGTCAACTTTCTGGCAATATCTTGCCCAAATCATGCTGCATTATCTTCATAGCATTTCTTACAATGTCTTCGGACTGTAGACACTCTTCCAGTTTTTTGTTGCAGTTAGTGATGAGATATTTGAGGTATATTTACAGTACTGCTACTTGGTATTTCTTCATCCTGACAATTTGTTAGATGGACAGCTAATTTCTTCCAAAGTTCTGTGATACTCATATTCTTCTTGCTAATATTTTAAAATAAAATATGAGCATTGAGAACAGTATTTAGTAGGAGCTTAGAGGCTAGCTTTTTATACAATTTAATTGGTTTTCGTAACAGGTTATTATAGGCACTCACTTGATCAGATATATCAACTGCTGCTTTTCCTGCATTATAATCCACTACAATTTTTGGTTTCAAGTAGTGACTTGATCTATTTTCAACATTCACCATCTCTGATGTATGTTTTGTTGAAAGAAAAAAGATGTCCGGCTTATTTTTCCATTTTAAAATGGTTATTCCTTTTTTGTTCTCTTTTGCTATAATTTCTCCCCATTTTAACTTCTTTGACGTTACTTCATGAGGATTTCCCTGTTGATTTGAGCGTAATGTTCCTCCTAAATGAGTATTATTACCGAGTAATTTATGTGCTAAATCTAAACTCATGTACCAGTTGTCTGTGTATAATGTCTGTCCCTTACTGAATACATCTCTACAAAGAGACAGAACAACATTAGTTGTTGTTTTATTTTCTTTTTCTAAACTTTTCCCTGCATATACACGGAAAGCATACGTGTACCCAGATCTGCAGCCCAACTTAAATAATTGAAGACCATACTGGTGGTGTTTTTGTTTTAAGTATTACCTAAATATTATGCAGCCACAAAATGGTATCAAAGATTCATTGATACATATAGCTTCAGATAATCATAATATTTTTTAAAATTTATTCCCATGTTATCTATTAATTGTATTTTGCGTAAACGATTGGAAACATCTGTCTCCCTATTGTCTGGAAAATCAGCATTCATAATAAGATTTCAAATCTACTTCTTGACCTTCCCCCCCCCCCCCCGGGGGAAGTTTGCATATATGCAGGATCACGGGACCAATATAAGCATAAAGATGGTAGAATAATGAGTCCAATCCATAGAATAAACCAAAACATCTTTTCTTTTCAATTCTGTTGGTCACAGTCCACCTACACAAATGCTGTGAGTTTTCAACCCCTAGTTTTTGTGGCGCATATACATTCGTTTGGCAATGTCCTCAAACAATTCATTAGGCACAAACAGTTCATAAGAATCCTCTACTGTTACACATAACTATATTCAAGTCTTCAATCCTAAAGGCAGGCAGGCAGGTGAAAAGCATGATCCTTGGTTATATCCTTGGTAGATTACCTCTTAGATCATGCCATTCTTCAAAATCCTCATCCTATGATGACGAGAAAAGAACAACTCTACGGCGTATGTTAAGAAAACTGATTTCACTTGAATCGCTTTCACACGCTTCTTCTGACATTGTCACTGTTACGGGGAAAGAAAAATGGTTTAAAGTGCACTGGAATGCAAACCACAGGCCACTGACTGAAGAGAAAGCATTTCTAAGAGAACACGGAGTACAGGTTGAGATAACTTCGTACAAGAAACGTATCTGCAGATACGCACGCAGCCTTAGCACAGTCTCACCCAGGCCTCTGGCCACCAGCACATCGGTAAAATCAGATATTACCGGCTAAACGGAAAGGAAGACAAAACAGGCTTGGCACTTCACGTGTTCATATATAGTTTCGTGTAGTGATTTTTATTTTTATTTGTTTGTTAATCCTCACTCAAGGATATTTTTCATTGATTATTAGAGTGGAAGGGAGGGAGAGGGGAAAGAGAAACATCCATGTGAGAGAGACATCCATTTAGTTGCCTCCCACATGGGCCCTGACTGGGGCCTAGTTGGGATCGAATCTGCCAGGTATGTGCCCTTGACTGGAAATCGAACCAGACACTCTAACCTCTAAGCAACACCGGCTGTGGCTGTAGTTTTGTGGTTTTTTTGTGTGTTTCTTTTGTTTGTTTGTTTTTCAGAGAGGAAGGGAGAGGGAGAGAAAGAAACATCAGTGATGAGAGAGAATCATTCATCAGCTGCCTCCTGCACACCCCTCACTGGAGACAGCCCAAAATCCCACATATGCCCTGACTAGGAATCAAACTGTGACCTCCTAGTTCATAAGTCAAAGCTCAACCACTGAACCATACTGGCCGGGCTGTTTTTCTTGTTGTTTCGTTTTATGAGAATTTAGATCTTGTGCAGTAGAAAAATTCTGTTTTTCATTTTAGTGTTTTTCTTCTTATGTGGACTGTGTCTAATCAAAGCTGCCATTGTAGTCAGTATCTGCATCCTTTTCAGTTTCAGCTCAGGCTCCTAACTCTGCCATAACAGCTCCGACTGGTGTTGGGGTGGCATCTACAGTTCACCTCAACCCCATGCAGTTGATGGCAGTGGATGCATCTCATGCTCGGCATATTCAAGGGATCCAGCCTGCACCCATCAGTACACAGGGGATACAGCCAGCCCCCATTGGGACCCCAGGAATACAGCCGGCACCAATTGGTACACAGGGAATTCACTCAGCAACCCCAATCAGCACCCAAGGGCTTCAGCCTGCATCAGTGGGTACTCAGCAGGCTCCACCCGAAGGAAAAACGTCAGGTAATTTTAATGTTTGGCATGAAACTTGGTGTGGAGAAAAGGGAGACACTGGGCTTAAATTCTGAATCTGCCACTTGCTGGCTTGTGGTCTCATAATTTCTCTAAGCTTTCATTTTCACTTTGTAACAAGAGATGCTTAGAACTTATCTGTCAGGGTCATTGTGGCCTTAGAAATGCATAAACAGCCTTACAGCTGTTTGCACAGGGTAAGGAGCACTCCATGGAAAGAGTTCTAAGCTGAGAGAACAATTCACCTTGTAATCGGAGGACTCTCATTCCTTATAGGATTTTTTAGAAGAGATTATGTAACGCAGTAAAATTAGGATAGACTGGAATGTTGGCACCATTTTTAGGATTGAAAGTGGTTGTATTTTACCAAAACTGGAAGATTTCCTGAAATATACAGTTATGTATCTTTCTCGTTTATTAATAATTATGATTATAGACCAGTGAAAAATGGTTATTGATCATGCCCCACTAGATGAGTAACCTCCTACTTGCCTTCTGCTTTTGGGCGCATGAACATGATGTTCCTGTTTCTTATCGTCTTGAATTTGGTCAGTCAGAACATGGAGACTCGGAGTCTGGCAATCTGATTGTTTCTCGTTGTCTATGTGAGACTTTAGTAATGTTTCTTTCATTTCCCTCTCCTCATTGTTCTTGTCTGCCCGCCCTTGCCTGTCTCTCAGCAATGGTGCTGGCAGATGGAGCCACAATTGTAGCCAACCCTATTAGCAGCCCATTCAGTGCTACTCCGGCAGCAACCACCGTGGTGCAGACCCACAGCCAGAGCTCCAGCACCAGCGCACCCGCCCAGGGCTCCTCCCCCCGGCCGAGCATCCTTCGGAAGAAGCCTGCCGCAGATGGGTGAGTGGGCCCAGGAGAGCAGTAACCCTCCGGGACTGGTGTCACCACACACTGGTCTGATTGGGCTGAAGGCTGTGCTTGTGTTCACCTCTATGATCATGCCAGGAGTGTTCCCACGTGTTTCTGTCCACTTGTACCCTCACCAGCTGTGTGGGTCCCTGCGTACACCGCTCCCAGGAGACAGGGTGCGTGTGGGGTGGGTGTCAGCCGTCTTGAGGACCAGGGTCTGGATGGTTATCAGGCGTTGTAACAGGACATTCTGGCTGGAGCCCTTCTCTCAGACCCACTCTTGTCTAACATTTGCTCCCACTCTGCGAGCCTGTACGTGTCGAGCTCCTTCCGGACTTCTCCCTTGTGAAATCCAGCATTAGTTCTCAGTCTGAGCAGCACTGGTCTTTGACCACCTTGATCCATGTGTCTGACTTGGCTGCCAGGAACTGGCTAGGTCAGCACAGATACACCGACACAGTAATGATCGTAAATCCTTACCATGGATTCAGATGTTAGTGTGAAGTAGAAAAGGAGGTAAGGCGTGCTAGAAAACAGCCAGAGGAGTCACAGCATCTGCTTCCCAGAGCAGTGGGGAGGACAGCGCAGGGGCCTGCTATGTGTTGTTTTTTTGTTTTTTGTTTTTTTAGTTGATTTTTTACAGAGAGGAAGGGAGAGAGATAGAGAGTTAGAAACATCGATGAAAGAGAATCATCAATCAGCTGCCTCTTGCACACTCCCTACTGGGGATGTTCCTGCAACCAAGATAAATGCCCTTAACCGGAATCGAACCTGGGACCTTTCAGTCCGCAGGCCGACGCTCTATCCACTGAGCCAAACCGGTTTCGACTGTGTGTTGTCTTGTAATACTATTTGACTGTTCTTGTAATATTATGCCTATATTATATTGACAAAATTTTTTAAAATCCATGAAAAATACTTAGCCAGTGCAGTGCTTTTATTTGCTGTACATATGCCTGGTACTTCCTTCAGTTTTCGGGTTTGTCTCTTTCAGAATTGCAGTTCGGAAAACCCTCATTCCTCCTCAGCCTCCGGAAGTAGCCAGTCCTCGAGTGGAGGGCTCCGTGCGGAGCACATCCGGGTCCCCTAGGCCCACAGGGTGAGCGCCTCACTGTTTCCACTCGGCTCCAACAGCACGCCATGCGGAAGCAGAGTGCCACACATGTGACAGGTTTCACACCATCTGCTTGTTGTCATTATGTGCTGTTACTGGCTGTATGGCCGCACACGGTTTTCAACCTCTCTAACTCTCATTTGCTTCACTTCATCGGGTACTTATCTTTTTATTTTTTAATGAGTTTTTTAAAATATATTTTTATTTATTTCAGAGAGGAAGGGAAAGAGAGAGAAAAAGATAAAAATGTCAATGATGAGAGATTATCATTGATCGGCGGCCTCCTGCACACCTCCTACTAGGCATCAAGCCTGCAACCTAGGCATGTGCCCTTGAATAGAATTGAACCAGGGCAGTACTTAACTTTTTAAATAAAATGACTCATTAAAAGTACTTAGAACCTGTGTCATGGTAACACCAAGTTATTTCTGCTGTCATAATGGCATGACAATAGTTCGTTCATGCTTTTTTCTTTACTTTTTGTCATCTTAGTTTCAGAAGTGAAATTATTTTGGGTAAAAATGAGACAATATAACAGCATTTAAAGTATAAAGTGAAAATCATTGTTCTATTCTTCACCCACCATTCCCCAGAATATTATTGATTGGTTATAGTTTTGTTAAGTATCTTTCCATGTCTTTTTCTACATAAACATATAGATAGATTGACAGATCCTTCCTCAAAAACAAGATCTTATGATTGATTTTTCTGTATCTTACTTTTTTATACTTATCACTAATAGCTTACCATGTTAATATTTTTAGATCTACTTCATTCAAAATAATTATGAATGCCTCGTATGTGCCAAAGGTCATTTTAGAATCTGGGATTTCATAAGAGTGGCTATCATTGTTTCTAACCTGTGTAAAGAAACCATAAGGAAAGCGTGATGTGCCTGTGCAGTGACGGAGGCAGAGGGGCGGGGTGCGGAACGGCTCCTCCCAGAGGCTGCGGAGCTGGAGGAGAAGCCGCGCTCCCTGGGGCTCCCTGTGCTTCGGGGCGGCAGAGGCGAGAGCGGGGCCAGGCTTTGATAGAAGAGTTCTCCGGGCCATGACTTTGCACACTGATGCAGGAATGTTAAAATAAACTGCAAAGTGATCTTAATCAGGGAGGCAAATAAAATTATGTGAGCTTTAAAAACATTTGTGAAAATATTAACAACTGTCAGTTATAATAGATAGGAAATGAAAAAAATAGTGAAACTAATATTTACTTAGTATGCTGTAATTCAAAACATTAGAAATATGGAGAATTCGAATGCTTTCTTTCTTAAAGTGATTCAGGGGTGTTGGGAACACGCTGACCTTCACGTGTGTAGCTTGGATGCGGGACAGGAGTTTGTCTGTGCCGTGGGGAACCGCACAGCCTTTCTGAGTTTGGATCTCCTGGCACTCTTTGTTAGTACAGTTGGCATACAATCTTACATGATCAAACCTCGGATCCCAGTTATCTCCCATCTTGAACAGTTCGGTTCTCTACCAAGTTGTTCACAGAAAAAATGTTTCAGCCAAAACCGGTTTGGCTCATTGGTCCCAGGTTTGATTCCGGTCAAGGGCATGTACATTGGTTGCGGGCACATCCCCAATTGGGGGTGTGCAAGAGGCAGCTGGTTGATGTTTTTCTCTCATCGACGTTTCTAACTCTCCCTCTCCCTTCCTCTCTATAAAAAATCAATAAAATATATATTTTTTTTTTAAAGAAAAAGAAAAAAAATGTTTCAGTTGTGAGCAGAACTTGGGTTTTCTCAACCTAACACCGCTTTCATACTGATACCTGTAGGATCAGCCACACTTCTCTCAGGCAGCCAGCAAAGGAGAGAGTACCGTGTGATTCAGTTCACCACTGACCCTCACAGTAACATCTCAGGAAGTTGTGCCGTGAATATTTTGCTGCGTTTCCTTTTTCTGACTTGGTTGCTGCAGCTTATTATTAATTCACACAAGAAGTTAGCAATAGCAGCAAAATGAACAGTGAACAACAACAGAGCTGAGGCTGTGCTGTCTATGAGAAAGGTTAAAACAGGATTGTTGGGGGGTTTGGGAACAGATTCACTAGATTTAAATTAATTCCAAAAGGAAGTAATGATACGGTTTTTGTACAAATCACTTCTTGAATTGCCTTCTGAAACAAACTAGATTTGAGAACCAAGATTCCCCTCTAGTAGTTTTCGGTCTAAAACGACGGTTGGAGTTTGTGTAGCTTACAGTGTGCTCTCCTGTATTCTTTACTGCACCCCTTCCCCTTCCCCTCCAGCCTCAGCCTTCAGCTCTGGCAGCCACCATTTGCTTCTGTAAGTCTTTTTGGGGTTTTTTGTTTGTTTTTTTATGCTACATATAACTAAATTACTCAGTATTTGTCTTTCTCTGATTTATTTCACTTAGCATAGTACCCTTCAGATCCATTTATGTTGTCGCAAATAGGATTTCATTCTTTTTATTTCTGAGTAATACTCCATTATATATATGTACCCCATCTTCCTTACTCATTCAACTTGGATACCTAAGTTACTTCCATCTTGGCTATTTGAGATAATGCTGCAATTAACATTTTTTGAAAATAGTTTAACTAAATGCCATGACAGTTGCATGGCATGGGCTGGTAAAGAGCACACCAACAAGGTCATCTGGCCAGAGGAGGGCAGCCGGCAAGGACCCCGGCAGCCCTGGTGCTGGCGGCCACGCAGAGCGCACAGCGCCCAGCTCCCCGCCGGCTCTGCCTCTCAGGAGGCGCTGTGGCAGCAGGGGGCCTGGGGGTGCAGGGATCTTGAAAATTGGTGTTTTTCATTTCCCTCTAATAAAACCTGGAAGGGGAATTGCTGGGTCCAGAGGCAGATGGTTTCCCATAGGGTCACGCCAGTTCACCCTTCAGCCAGCAGTGCCCACCGGGCCTTCTCTACCCACCTCGCCGCACTCACTGCATTGGCTTTGCTCCGAGCCTTCCGCAGGTGGGAGGTGGCCGCCTGGCTTTGCATACGTTTCCCTAATGAATACCAATGTTAAGCAAGTTGGCCATCTCTGTGTCTTTGAAGACATGTCTCTTCCCTCTTAGAACTGTTTTTTGGTGGTGGTGGTGGTGGTGGTTTTTTTCTGCATCCCATAAAATTTGGAAATTTGTATTTTTTTTTGTTTCCAGGTATTTTTGGATTTTCTGTTTGATTTTCTCTGATCCATGGGCTATGTAGTAGCATGTTATTTTGTCTCCACATGTTTGTGTGTTGTTTTTAATTTTCTGGCTGTAGTTAATTTCTATTTTTATGCCATTGTGGGCAGATAATACACTTGTTATAAATTCAATCTGCCGAAACCGGTTTGGCTCAGTTGATAGAGCGTCGGCCTACGGACTGAAAGGTCCCAGGTTCAATTCCGGTCAAGGGCATGTACCTTGGTTGTGGTCACAACCCCAGTAGAGGGTGTGCAAGAGACAGCTGATTGATGTTTCTCTCTCATCGATGTTTCTGACTCTCTATCCCTCTCTCTTCCTCTGTAAAAAATCAAAAAGATATATGTAAAAAATAAAATAAAAATAAATTCAATCTTTAATTCTTTGAGGCTTGTTTAATGCCCTAATGTGGTTTGTCCATATGCATGTGAGAAAAATGTGTACCTCTAGATTGGGGGTGAAATGTTCTGTAAGTGTTAGTTATGTGATCTGCTTGAAAAGGACATTGCAGCCATTGTGTCCTTACAATTGGAACTGCCTTTTGTGGGTGATCTGTGCATTGTGGGAATAAGGTGCTGAGGTCCCCAGCGGGTGTGGTACTAACTGTTCCCTCCTGCCTATGTGTCCATTAATACTGCTTCCTGTGCTTTGGCGCTCCTCTGTGGGCGCAGTGTATGTAGTGACAGCCTCTGCTTGCCTGGGGCCTTCATCATCATGTAATGTCCTTGGACTCTTCACATTCTCTGTTTTGTCTGAGTGTTGCTGCCACAGCTTGCTCTTTGTTTCTATCTGCATAAAACTTTTGTTCCATCCCTTCACCTTCTGTCTGTGTGTCTTTCTATCTCACTTGAGTCTCCGTGAGGTAACGTACAGGTGGATCTTACTGTTTATTCTTTAAGCCAGCGCTCACCAACCGGTGTCTGTGGACCACAGTGGTCCGTGAGGTCCGAAAAGTTGGCGACCGCTGCTTTAAGCCACCTTGTCTTTCATTGGAACATTTAGTTCATCTGCAATTAAAGTACTTACTGATTGCCATTTTGTTCATCGTTTTTTAGTTGTTTTTGTTGGTCTTTTCTGTTCCTTATTCTCTTGCTCTCTTTTGATTTGCTGGTTTTCTTTAGTGATTTCCTTGGGTTCCTTTCTCTTTCTTTTTGTGTTTTTCTTGTAAGTTTTTGTAGGGTGTGGTTATCATGAGGTTCATGTATATCTACCCATATCTACAGAAGTCTGTGTAAAGCTAATTGGCATTTAAATTCAAACACACGTTGTTTACCTGGCCATGGGGGGGAGGGGCGGTGCGGGCGGAGCGCGGCGTCCATCCTGGCTGTCCGCGGCGGAGCGGAGGGGACAGGCGGCCTGAGCGTGTGGCCTTCCCTGCCCTTCTGGTACACGTGGAGCTTTCTGGTGTCCCTGCATTTTGGGGTTTTCTGTTTGATTTTCTCTTTAATTGTTTGTTGTCCAAATTAGGTCCGAGCGGGGCCGCCCTGAGGGTATGACGTGCTGCAGCCCCCCACACGCTCCCCACTTTCTACAGGCGGAGCAGCCCTGCGTGCTCCCACACTACCCACTGGCTTTGCACATACGCGGGCGGGGCTGCCCTACCTGTGCGTGCAGCAGCCCCTCTGGTTCGGCACTTTGTCTGGAAGACACAGCCCCACATGTGCATGCAGAAGCTCCCCACTAGCTCTGCCGTGTCTCCCACACGCATTCCTCCGTGCCAGCGCCACACTGTGCACTTTGCTGGCTCCTCACTCTCTCCAGGCTCCTGCAGGCCAGTGGGCGTGGTGTGCAAAGGGCACCCTGGAAATACTGGGTGTAGAGACCCT